CGCATCGCGTGAGCAGATAAGCAACTATTAAGTTTACGGCGGTGTTCAGGCTCTGCAGCTTCGCCTCTACTAATGCCAAGTCACCTATAAGCCTCTTGGCACGCTTGTCGATTCAATCCAGGGTGGCCAGTTGGTATTCCATTCAGCAGTACTACATACACGACCGGTCTTGTGATTGGTATAGATGAAGCAACTGGATGAAGTAACGCCTCTCCTTAGAAAGGATGCCAAGCTTCCTGGCTGAATTTTTGGCCATGGATTCAACGTATCTGCCGAAGTTCAGATTGGACGAGAGGTCGGCTATCAGTATGGATATATCACGAAAAGTCGGAATCGGGTGAAAGGGACTTCGTTTTGTGCAGATTTTCTTTTGTCTTCTGCATTTTTACCACATGATATGAATTTACTGCCGGTAAGTGTATTGAACTACCTAACCTGCTAAAATGTAACTAAGATATTGTTTTAACTCACATACAATGGGAATTTTTGACAGTATTCATAACTGTACCTACTATTATTGTCAAATGCGAGTTAGTCAGCGCATTAACCTATCAGCACATAACCCCGACACAAAGGGGGAGTTATAAGTTTCAAGTCTTTGTCTTTGTTTCTGTGGTATCGTAACTCATATAGTAGCAGTAGAGCACCTGCATGGGACCTGTAAATGGCCCTAAACGTCAGTTTGTTTGAAAAAACAAATATACGCGATTTAAATCCGGAAAAATAGTTTCATTTCCTATGTGTAACAATCGCGAAAACCTAAGAACTCGATTTATATTTTCTAATTTACTACGTATACGCAATGTATACGGTTTTATAACAAGACTGCGAGTGATATTAGATAAGTTTAAAGAGATTAACATTGTCACAGTAACGTCACAGTACATTAATGAAAATGTTATTTAAGTTAAGAAAAATAATTTTGTTTTATGGAAAATAGTGACAGACATAACATTAATACGAGCAATAAAAATAAACTAGCTGTTCTTGATAGTCGTCTTCATAAAGTCTAACATTTATTTAAGGGACAATGCATATGCTTCTATCATTGACTTGAAACGTTGAATTTAAATTGTAATGTCATCGCAGTACAGTCTAATTTTGCTTGCTTCGCTGTCAGTCGAACAAACGAAGACTAAAGCGTGAATGACGCTCTGTATACGATTTTAACGCCCTATAAGTTCGGACACTTTTTAGCGCGGACCCGACGTCCATATAATTGTAAGTCAATGGCTTCTATAATAAGATTCCGATTGATATTCAAAATTTGACATTTACGAGGTTTAAAACTATTGTGAAACAAAAACTTTATACTAAAGGTACGGATGACGAAAATCCTTAATTCTTTCAAGTATTCTCGAAATAAAATGTTTAAATCAAATATTGTAACGATAAATGTATTCAAATGTATGTTTACAAGGAGCAACCCCTAACGTTTCTTGCTCATTCTTCTCATGGAAACAGGCCTTACGAATTACACTTAAAGCAAATTACACTTCTCTAATATACAATTGTTAAGTATAACTTGGTTAACTATGAAACAAAAAAGAATTTGCACAACTTAGTTTAGGGAAAATGACTTGTGAAATGTAGTAAAATTACTTTAATGTACCGGTTGTTTTCGAGAACTAATTGACAGCACAGAGTTATGAGAGCGTATTCAAGATCATTGTTAATAACTGGTTAATAAAATATTTGACCACTTTCCATCATAAAAAAAATTACCATTTGAACATATTTTATTAACCGACTTCGAAAATTTTTAGTATGTATGTTACGCGATAACTCCGGTATTTGTGAACCGATGTTAAAGATTCTTTTTTTGTTGGAAAGAGAGTAGGTACCTCAGCATTGGTCCCATTATAACGTCGGACTGCCACGCAGAGGTCCCAGGTGCGAGTCCCGGGCAGGGAGAAATATTTGAATGGCCTACATTTCTCTGGTGAGATTGGGTGTAATTTGTGGTTGTCTACGTGTGTACTTTCCGGTAACCGATTTCAATAAAACAAGTTTTGCCAAGGCGAATACATATAATTCCACGAAATTTTACGATCTGTTTTTTTAAAACAGTTGACATGTACAAAATAAGTTTCGCTGTGTCCGGCCAAACATTAACCATACAAACGTGTTGAAATTGCTATTAATTACACATTTATTCGTATGCATTTGAACAGACTAAACCTCAAACATGTTATTTTTTAACCGACTTCAAAAAAGGAGGAGTTTCTCAATTCGTCTGTATGTTTTTTTGTATGTATGTTACGCGACAACTCCGCCATCTGTGAACCAATTTAGATAATTCTATTTTTGTTGGAAAGAAGGTACCTCATGTGGGTCCCATTTAAATTTCAAGAAAACGTTCCAGCTCTAAGGGTGGCAACTAGGGGATGAATGACTTTTGAGGTCGGTTTTTGTTACCGGAGGTTAGGTTATTCCAATATCACATGAGCGTGTACACATGGAGTTAATAAGTCGGTCAGCAATTTAGACGCAGTGATAGTCATAGGAGTCAATTTCAATTAAAATAATTTTAATGTAGAAATATAATTAAATGTCAAAATAATAAAATTAGTAACGTCAAAAAAGATATATAAATGTCAAAAATCTGATTTAGATTATTATCTTGTAAACTTTACATTATAGTATAAAGCTTTTAAATCTGTATAAAGCACAAGTTCGATCGTGTATGGAGTACTGCTGCCACCTTTGGAACGGCTCTGCCCATTGCCAGTTGGCTGCCTTGGACTCGGTGGAGCGAAAAGCAAAGAGCCTTATTAACAAAAACTCTCTTGTGGAGTCGAAGCTACAAAATTTCGACCATCGCAGAACAGTAGCCTGCTTGTCGGTTTTCTATCGGATACATTTCGCGGAGTGTGCGCTGGAACTTTTCAATTTAGTTCCACCCTCACCGTTCCTCCTTCGGTTGACTAGAAGGTCCGGAACACTCCATTCTTATGTCGTTGATATACTACCTATTCGCACTAAGCGCTTTGCTTCCTCCTTTCTGATGCGTATGGCAAAGGAATGGAATGCTCTAATGCGTCTGTATTTCACGAGACGTACAATTTGGGGCTATTCAAGGCTAGAGTGAATAGGTATTTTTAGGCAAACGCGTTCCATCGTCGGTCACATCGTCGCTTAACATCAGGTGAGATTGTGGCCAAGCGTGTGTCTATTACATAAATAAAAAAAATACAATAATTGTATTTTTTTTGTATAATACATCATATTGTATTACAAGAATCGTTACAAATGGTAATAAATGTTTCAAAAAATTACAAATATCCAGTACAAGCTTTGTACTACGTAATTTTAACCTAGTTAATGTAGTTATGTCAAATAATATAGGAACATATTATATAACATAATAATAATAATAAACATCAATATAACGATTGTATGCATAAAGTTTACGTAATTTATTCATTTCTGTTAAATAACATTTATACCGAATAATCTATAAATTACAACATATATTACAAGACCATGTCCCTATATTGTTCAGTGGAATAATACGCATTATCCAACAAAAAGTCTTTCAGTCGACGATCAAATGTTTCATCATTAGGCTCATTTTTTAAGTCAACGGGTAGGTGCTCATAATAAGTCGGGCCGATTATTCGCGGATTTTTTACTGACAATGAAGTTAGGGATTTGTCATTTAAAAATTCGGACACCAACCCAACATCAACCCATTTATACGTTTCACAGTTGGACAGAGGTGAAAAGGTTGTACACCCTAATGAGTCGTGACCAGGTTCACGGCAATAAAATAAGAAACTTCAGGTCCACGAAAGTTTATTTCAAGTTATACTATATTACAGGTTGGTACTAAATTTGGCGCATGATTAGTAGTACCTATTACAAATCTGGTAAAGGAATCAAAATTAGACGGAATCGAAATTTGACGATGGAACGAAAGAAAATCAGAATGGCGAGGCAAAGAAATTAAAGAACGATTCAAAATTTAAAAACGAGTGGCCAGAAAGCGAAAAGATGACAAAAAGGCGGTATGACGATATAAGGAGGTCACATTGTCACAGAGGTCTCCTATCGGATAAGGATTTAGGCCTTAGTCCGCCACGCCGCCCCAATTAGTGACTGCAAACGTTTTTCTAGGGTTTTGAACCTTCTTCGACGAGCAGGTATTACCTCGATGTTTTCATTTAAATCATTCCTCTAAATAGTTGAAGTAAAATGGCGTCTGATTGATGGCCGAGGATGGACAAAGGGAGCGTCAGGCGCCCTGTTGCAATGTGAGTCAACGACATAGTACGCGCCGCGGGGCGTTAATGTTTGCGGCAACTACAGGACCGTGGGGTACAAACTTCTGGAGGTCTATACCCAGCAGTGGGTGAAATCAGGCTGTGGATGACGACGATGATGCTACAACCTATAAAATTGAGGTCGTTTTTTTTATAAAAATCTCTTTGTCATAGATCTATTCTAATATTAAATAATACTCAAATATGGTTTTAATAAATCGTGGTTCATATCCCGAAAAAAATAGTATAATTTCCAATATATACAATGTAAAAGTACGCAATGAATATTATTATCATATTAATAATAATACATAATTATGGCGTTCGCTATATACTTACTACGACATCAGTGAAACAATGTAAATATCTTTCTAATTAATTCTTAGATCACCATTGTCGTACATCCTATATAATTCATATATAGCATATTTCAAACCCTATGTCTACATTATTTATGTTCATTTGTAGCCTTTTAAAAACAGTAAATTCAAAATGAAGCTAATTTACGCATCCAAAACGTTCCCTTTCTCTGGTTGCGGGAATCAATATTTTCTGCCTACCCCTGTTAAAAGGGTAGCAAATAAACAGAATCAACATCGTTCTTAACATTAGTTTCTAATGTTACGGTTGTTTTTACAAACAAAGAATCGGCATAAAATTGAAAGACGGTGGTTTCGTTTATTTGCTCTCAAGTGTACACACAAAATAAGAAAACTTAAGCAGCTATGTACTCACACCACTTCCTGAGGAATGCGCTGGTCAACTTCGCACACAACTTGTCTCGACCCTGCATTATTGAAGTTTAAATTACTGCCCAAAAAAAAAATTAATACCACTGTTAACACTGCACTACCATTGCACTATTCACTGCACGATGCACAATCTTTTTTTTATTTTTGTTTTTATTCATCCATTTGACAGCTACGTTCGACGCGCGTCCGTTCTCTTCGACTGTCGGGAGTATACTGACGTAGTTTAGCCGCGAGAAGTTGCGTATGCGCCGTTTCAACTGTGGAAAAAACAGAATTTATTAAACCTGTTGCTTTTCCCATTAAGTATATATTATACTAGATCAATTAGTTGTTATTAAATGTTCAAAACTCGACATTTCATGGTCATAGAATTGTGGCATTGGTAAACAAATTGTATTAAGTACTTATTAACGTTATTAATATTTTTTGTCATTTAACACGCATCCTATAGTGGTGTATCCATCCGACATCTCGCATACGTTCTGCAGTTGGGTATAGGTCACCTCCAAGCTGCAATCCACTACTCTGGTCCAATATGAGGTCGTGACACACACAATATCTTCTACCATACAGTGTTCATTTATTTAGAAGAATTTTCGCAATACAATTTGAATGTCAAATTTCAAAGCGTAAATTTTATATTTAACCGACTTCAAAAAAGGAAGAAGTTGCCCAATTCGCCTGTATTTTTTTTTGGGCGTATGTTAACACGATTACCTTCTACGATATTTGTAAACCGATTTCGATGATTATTTTTTTTTGTACTTCAATAGTCTTCAATAGTCATAATAGGTCCCATTCAAATTTGAAGAAAGTATTCCACCTCCACGGGTGGCAGATTAGGGGATAAATGCGGTTTATTGGATTTCACCCACTTTCCGTTCATCGATTTGAATAAAACTTTAAGTTGTAATTAAACAAATTTTTCAGGTCGGTTTTTTTAAATAAAAAGTAATAATTATTAGGACAAAACTAATTCTCGTATTAAAGCGTGATTAATGGCTTGTGCTCCATTAGCCACGATTAACAACGAAAAAGTATTAAGTAAAGAAATTTGCCTTGATATATTAAGGTCACCTCTGAAAAATGACAACTTCGCAGGAGAGAGTAGCGACGCACGACTTTGAATGTTACTAATCTCATTCGAATGGGCAAATCATTCGTCTAACTCGAATTACCGATACTGAATTCCCCTTTTTTTTCTTTTCTTTTTTTTTTGGTAACGGTGGGGAATCCTTTATGGATACCCCCGAGCCCGGGCGGCTCGGAGGTTATGTGGGAGACCCGGCGCCCTGAAAAGGGCGCTGCCCTCTGGGTCTAGCATGGACCCAGGGGTGTACCCACTAAACCCCATCGGTTTGCCTCTCGCCGGGTTTGTGCCGGCGCCGTGGGATAATCTCTATTTCACCACGACGCCGCCCGGCCGCCCCGGCCACTATGCCGGGGCTCCCGCGCCTATGGAGGAGAGGATCGGTTTTCTCCGCCCCTCTCCCCAGACGATTGAGGCCGTGCAATGCGAACAGGGGCTCTAGTCCCTGTCCGCTGATACTGAATTCCCCTGCCATTCGGTCCGACGCACGAGTTGAATGATTATTATGTCGGAACTACTCCATATCTAGCAGTGGCAGTAGAGCTCCTTGTGAAAGAGTTTGTCCAGGGAAGTACTGCCACCTTACCTATTTCTATCGCCAAGCAGTAATGTCAGCATTACGATTTTGAAGGATTAAGGGTGCTGGTGAAATTACAGGCACATGGGACTTGTCAACTTATCTCTTAGGGTGATGGGCGCAGTGACAGTGCCCCTCAGATCTTTGCGGTTTAAAGCTCTGAGTGGCACTGCAACTGTTATGAACAGGCTTGTAACTTGATATTATAAAAAAATATCAAAATGTTCCTGTCACAATATTTACCATAATGTCAGAGAGGGCTAGGTGATCACGAGTATCGTTGTGCGCTATGGAATCTATGATTAGTTGCGAATGATCTAAATATCATTCGAATACGAAAATTAGTAGGTCACTAATTTGTCATTCGAATGACTGGATTAGTAACTACTAATGAGTCAAATATTGAAGTCATTCGCCATCGCTGGGATTCAAGTGACAAAAGCGCTTTTAATACTACGCCACTACGGGGGCCATGGCCCCGGGCGACACAGCAATGAGAGGGCGGCGAGAGCGGCCGATCTCCAACTAGGCAAAATTATAATTTTTACTTAAAATTAGAAAATAACCGTGCCAGACGCTATACCAACTAAGCCACGGAACAAACCAACGGACCTCACGAATTCTTCTATGTGCTTGTGTCGTGTCTTTGTACTTGGTCTTTCAACGACTTTTTAGTCGTAGCGCCATCTTTGAGAAATCTATTACAGATTTATCACCCAGTTAGTACCTTTACAGCTACCAGTCCTGGCGAGAGATGTCGCTATTCACTGTATTTATTAAATTTTTATTGAATTGATATTCAATTATTTTTTTGTGAAATTACTCTACTAGTTTGTTATAATTATTAATACAAAGATCCGAAAATTCCGGTCGGATCGAAGGAATTTTTCTGAGTGTTTTTTCTGAGTGTTCGATCTTTGTATTAATAATTATAACAAACTAGTGGAGTAATTTCACAAAAAAGTAATTGAATATCAATTCAATAAAAATTTAATTATTAGAAAATAAATTCAACTATTTCAAACAACGACATTCTGAACAACACAAAGATGGCGACGGCAGAAAACACAATCGAGCCGAACCTGCCCGAACGAGCTATGTACTTTCGTATTTTTTATAGTACCAAGTGACAGAACGAGCAAATCGTGCACCTGGCGGTAAGCGACACGCCTCCCCACAACAGTTGCAGGGCCACTCAGAGCTTTAAATCGCAAAGATCTTAGAGGCACTACCACTGCGCCCGTCAATCTGAGACATGAGTTGACAAGTCCCATGTGCCTGTAACTTCGAGTATATAACCAGAAGTAGAGACGAAATAAGGGCTATCCATCCCTGGAAACTCATCAGGCGAATGGGCCTTGAATATCTTTTAAATATCAACTCTTGTTTGCGCTAGAATCACAAATTACAAATTGAAATAGTACAGCGCCAACAACTGACCTGTGTGTACATCTCCGTATACGCCAAAAATATTCTGTATTTATTGTAATAAAGACAATATCTTTTAGTATGGGGGTGTTCCATTCGATGGTGTGGAAAAAACAGCAAAACATCTAATTACAAAGCAAACGGAATCACATTTCATCGGTAATGAAAAATTGCAATTTTTCTGGTCGATTTGAAGTCAAACATTTGACGACACCCGTCAATTGTTTCGAATTCGGGCTGGTCAATCGGAGCGCAGTTGTTACCGTAATGATTTGGCAGAATATTTTTTTTACGAATTAAATGACATTTCGTCTCCATTTCTGGTTATATACTCGATGGCCTGTCATTTCACCAATGTATTTTATTGCACAAACAAAACCTCCAATTACTAGTTCATGATTAAACCAAGGGTAGAAATTTAACTATTTGTTATGAAACTAAAGAGTAAGTTACAATGGTTATAAACAAAATTGAAACTTAAAAGGCGGTTCTGGAATTCTTTAAATAAATACATTGATTCCAAAGAAAAATCTCTCATATAAACATTTAAAAAAATCATAACAGAGGGAAGCCTTGTTCGTGTGTTATTAAAAAATATGTAATGTATCATTTCAATGTTATTATAATAATGGTATTGTAACTCAGTCAATCAATGATATTTCATAAACAAATAAGAAACGACTCGGAGGACCGATGAAGACCAATGAAAAGATGATTGAACTGGGTGATAGATGTCGGGTGGCGTCGTTAAACCGCTGGACAATTTTCAAATTTTGGGAAAATGTGAATTTAATAACTACAGGACTTCTGTTGAAAACCAAAATTTAGCAGGCTGTCTATAGTACTTAAGGATATAAAAACAATGTGCAAAGTTAGATAAGTATTTCATTAACCGAGTTCAAAAAAAGAAGCAGGTTCTCAATTCGGCTGTAATTTTTTTTTTGTTTATGTTACACGATAACTCCGGCAACATTTTGTGAACCGTTTTTGATGATTCTTTTTTTGTTAGAAAGGGGGTACCTCAGTATTGGTCCCATTTAAATTTGAAGAACATATTTCACCTCTAAGAGTGGCAAAGTAGAGAATGAATCCGGTCGCGCACTTTCCGTTGACCCTTGGCAAATAGATGTAATTCCACAAACTTGTGAGGTTGGTTTTCTCCTTAATAAAAAAGTTATTATTTGTGTTAATATTAATTGATATTTATTTAACCTTAAGCGGAATATCGATTTCACAACGAACATAGCAGTGTATTTTTTTCACAGCATATGCCCAAATATTTTTCTTTTTCTTAGTTTCCTTTTTTCACAGTTTAGTACCTATGCAAACAACATACGAAAACCATTGGCGTATTGTACTCACATATCGACGATGATCTATCGGGTTCAACGGCTACTTATGTAGAAAACTTGGCATTATTTAGTAGATGAGGGTTCAATGGATATGATTAACACTTAGGGCGCATTTATTCGAAACGAATTTCATCGCGCGGAGTCCGCGATGCCGCCGCGCAGCGCCCGCTTGCGGCTGTCACGGCAAAATACGCTTATTTATTTAGCCTTTACGGTTTCACTTAAATGATCATCCGGGACACGCGGTCGGCTTAAATGTGGTCTACGCGGCGGCCGCGCGGTTGTATTCAAAGGAATTTAAGAGCCCTTATGCCAAAAAAGTTTTGACGTTGGCTCCGCCCAAATTTGTGAAACAAATATATGCCTGAAGTTCGCGTGACATGCGACAGGAGATGTTGAATTTTGCGCATTAAAAGTACCAAATTCGTTTTAACGAAAAATCCGTAGTGACAGTTGTCGATCATGCATAAATATAATTAATTATCTAATTTTTGTCCTAATAAACTGTAGCATTTCGAGTATAAATCGAAAAAATGTGAAAATTAGAGGTCATTTCATGATTTTTATCTATCGAGGAAACTTTATTGTTTTTTGTGTCTGATTAATGTCTATGCTTGAATATATCGTGTAGTTACTCATACAATATTCTA